ATAGTAGATCATATGGTTGTCTGATTCAAAATGGCCAAAACCCATCCATTTCAGCTCACTAATGCCTAGGATATCAATCTTTATGCGTTCCATTTCATTTTTGACAACTTCCAGTTTTCCTAGATTCATACTTCGTACATTCCATGTTCTGATGATTAATGGATGTCTGCAACTGTTTCTCCTTAATTTGAATGGTGCCACATCCACAAATGGAGGTCTCAAAAGCTTTACCTTATCCATATGAGTCAGGCTGGGTTTACTCTGATGATGCAGCTCTTTCCAAGTCCTATTTTGAGAGCCTTCTAACCTAACTGAACTATTCATAAAGTTGCATGGTAATGTATCAGACAGTGTTTCTTTGCTATTCATAAGGTTTTCCCTGGCCAATTCTTTGAGAAGTGGATGGCCTCTTCCTTCTTCCTAGCCAGTGACTCTATAGGACAGAGTAAAACTGCCTCATAGGATTTCCAAGACTGTGAATATTTATGGAATCAGACTGGCTCATCTTTCTCCCATGGAGTGGCTGGTGGGTTCAAACCACCAGCCTTTTGGTTTGTAGCCCAAAGCTTTGTACCACCAGAGCTCCCTTACATGGGCTCAGCACCATGGATTTCCACTCACCAAGTGGCTATAGCCACTGCTCAACCTGCCAGCAGCAGAAACCAACACTGAGTCTGTGACATGGAACCACTCTTTGGGATGATCAGACAACAACCTGGTGACAGACTGATTACAATGGACCACTTCCATCATGGAAAGGGCACCATTTTGTTCCTACTGGAATGGATACTAGGAGCTCTGGTGGCATAGGAGATAAGGCGTTTGGCTGCTAACCAGAAGGCCAGCAGTTCAAACCCACCAGCTGCTCCATGGATGGAAGATGGGGTGATCTACTTCCAAAAAGATTTACAACCTCAGAAACTCAATGGGGGTCACTATGAGTCAGAATTGACTTGATGGCAGTGAGTTTGCTTTTGGTTTGGAATACTTACTCTGGATACAGATTTGCCTTCCTTGCATGTAATACTTCTGACAAATTGCCATCCATGGGCTTATAGAATGCCTTATCCACTGTCATAGTATCCCACAGAGCATCACCTTTTATCAAGGGAGTTTCACAACAAATGAAGTGTGGCAATGAGCCCATGTTCATGTAATTCACTGTTCTTACCATGTTTCCCATCATCCTGAGGCAGCTGGCTTGAAAGAACAATGGAATGGCCTTCTCAAGACACAACTATGATGTCAGCTAGGTGGCAATACCCTGTAGAGTTGAGTCATTGTTCCCCAAGGGGCTGTATATGCTCTACGCCAACATCAAATATATGGTACTATTTCTCCAATAGCCAGGAATATGGGTCCATGAACCAAGGGGTAGAAATGGGAATGGTACCACTCACTATTACACCTAGTGACCCACTTGCAAAATTTTTGCTTCCTATCCTTGCAACCCTATGCTCTGCAGTTCTGGAGGTCTTAGTTCTAAAGGGAGGAATATTCTCACATGGAGACACAATATTGATTCCACTAAACTGGAAGTTAAGGACGCCACCTGGCCACTTTGAGCTCCTTATGCCTCTGGACAACAAAGAAGGGAGTTCCTGTATTGGCTAGTGTGATTGATTTTGATTATCAAGGGGAAATCTGGCTGATATTACATAACAGAGGTAAAGAAGACTAAGTCTGGAATAAAGGAGATTGCTGATGAAGTTTCTTAGTTACTATCATGCTCTGTGATTAAACTACAGCAACCTAATTCTGACATGATTACTAACTGCCCATGGCATCAGAAATGAAGGTTTGAGTCACTCCACCAGGCAAAGAACCATGGCCAGCTGAGGTGCTTGCTGAGGACAGAGGGAATACGGAATGGGTGATAAAAAAAAGGTAGTTCTAAATACCAACTAAAATCACATGACCAGTTGTAGAAAATGAGGACTGTAATTGTTAATGAGTATTTCTTCCTTGGATGTGTGTGTCAAATATTTTTGTTTTCTTCACTTACAAAATATAAGATACAAACGGGGCATTTTCAGTTATATACTCATTAGTTGTATCATGTTAGGTGCAAGTATGACTTTATAATTATCTTTATTTACAGATTATATATAATTTAAGGAGATGTGTACAGATGCCAAGTTGATAAGGGATGGACTGTGATGGTTCAGGTTGTGTGTCAATTTGGCTGTACCAAGTTGCATTCTCAGTGGTTTGGAAGTTATGTAGCTTGGCAGTTATGCAATGATATAGTCATTCCCTACTTTGAGATCTGATACAATGTAATCATCTCCTTGATGAGATGTGCTATGAGCAGCCAATCAGTGGAAAGGGAATTTTCCTGGGGATGTGAACTACATCAAATATATATGGATATTCTGGGAAAACTCTCTGGCTTTTTGTTGTATCTTCAGCCTGCATCTGATGTGTCATCATCTGACTTCTGGTTATTTGGACTTGACCCAGCAGCCTGCTGTATTGCCTGCTGATCTTGAGTTTCATTAGCCTCCAAGCCTGTGAGCCGGTAGCCTGCTTTCTGACTCACGGATCTTAGGTTTGTCAATTCCTGCAGTCAGGAGAAGCCTCCAGTCTAATGTCTTACCCAAGGACTTGGGACATGACAGCCTGCACAACTATATGAATCATTTCCTTGAAATAAATCAATCTCTCTCTCTATATATATATTAACTTCACTGGTTCTGCTTCTCTAGAGAACCCAGCATAAGATACAATAAAAAAATGCATTGTGTTTCAAAGAAAATGAATTTTTACAAGCCTTTATGCATGTATACATGGAATTCCCTTGTCTATAGTATCCCATTCCTCTGTCAGTTTATTGTACTCTGGTGGCTTGCATGTTGCTGTGATGCTGGAGGCTATGCTGCCAGTATTTCAAATACCAGTAGGGTCATTCATGGTGGACAAGTTTCAGCAGAGCTTCCAGACTAAGACTCAGAAGAAGGAAGGGGCCATCCACTTCTCAAAGAATTGGCCAATGAAAACCTTATGAATAGCAGTGAATAGTGTCCTTTCTCCATCCTAACACCTTTCCTCTATTTCTATATTCTTTGCCAGACAAATTCTAATTCAATATCCCAAATTCATTAAGGTCTTCCAAAAAAGTCATCATGGCTCCTCCAAGGCTAGCTTAGGGTGCTTTTCATTTGTAATTTTCATGTGCCACTTTTTATTTTTCCTGATATACTTTTTCATATATATTGACATGACTATTTGTTTAATCTGTTCCCCAGACCAAAATGTGAGCTCCTAAAGAGAACAAAATACTCTTGCTTATTTTTACCATGCTGGTATATAGCTTATATGACATAACATATAGCAAGTATTTAATGACAGTGTGTGTGAATGAAACATTTTCTAAAAATCTATTAAACTGAATTAGCAGTGAATCATAGACATTTACCTGTTACTTGTTTCCTTAGTTTTTCAATTTCTTCTTTTAAGTTTTTTATTTCTAAATCTTTGCTTGCGGTTAACGGCCCATCAGCAGTTGAATACTGTAGAGCTTGGACAGTCTGTGTTGATTCTTAAAAAAGATGAATAAAAAGAAGAGTAAGAAATACGGCCATACTCTGAATTTTAAAAATAATAGCAACATATTCCTTTCTAGAGAAATTCTTATATAATTCTATAGACAAACACATGTGCCCATACATTAAATGAAACTATGATACTTGATTTCACATGTCTTTAAAATAGTAGTATATATAGGAAAAAATATAGCCTCTGATATGTGGTATTTTGCATTTTGAACACTGAAATGGTTGATTTTATGCAACAAGTTGGCTAGAACAGAGTATCCAGTTGTTTGGTCAAAAATTAGTTGAGATGCTATAATGAAATAGTTAACATGTGATTAAATCACTTGACCTTAAGTAAAGGACATTACCTTCCATAATGTGAAGTATTTGCTCACAAATGAATCATTCATTTGGTCAACACAAATATTTCTGTTTCTGTTCATTACTCAGCAGAATTTTTACAACCAAGAGCAAAAAGGGAGTTTTCCTTAGAGTATATTCTGCCTCTAATCCCAAATAGACATTTTGTCAGAACTCTTCTACTCTTTACCCTTTTCCCACTGTCTGACCTACAGATTTGGGACATATAAGACTGCAAGAATCTCCAGTCTGTCACTTACAAATTTTGGACTTGCTAGTCCCCTACAATCATTTGAGCTAATTCCTCAAAATCAGTATCAGTCAATCAATGCATGTGTCTCTGTCTCTTACCGGTTACTTCCCTACAGAACCCTAAGAGGAGAGCCTGCCAGTCAGCCAACTATTCAACACCCTTTTGACCCAGCAGGAAGCATAACAATGTGATCAAAAACATCATATGTCACATGATGTATGAAAAACTGAATCTGGTATATGATGGAGGTTTAGATATGCTAGTATGTAATATGTAGAAGTACTGGATTTTCCAAATTTTGTGTATGAAAGTTGAGGCCTATGTGTAGATGATGTTGGCTTATCAATTTAGTTAAAAGAAAAACAAAAAAACAACCTCAGATTCACTGCTGTGGAGTCAGATCCGACTCATGATGACCCCTCCTTGGGTTTCCAAGGCAGTATCACTTCAGAAGAAGATTGCCCAATCTTAATTTATCTTGTGGTTCTAATCAGAAGATGTAAGGTGTTAATAAAATATGAACTCTACTGAGGCTAGTGAAACTGAAAGGAAGCACAGAGAAATGACACACAAAGAAAACAAAGAATGGAATGAACTGAATAGAGCATAAAAGCAATGCAGGACGCAAGCATTGTAACAAAAATGTAATTGGAGTACCAGAAGAGAAAAGAGAGTGAATGAGGCAAGAGAAATATTTACAGAGATTGTGAACTTTCCAAAATCATTCAAGATTCCAGAATCTCAGTGAATCCCAAACACTCTTATATTAATACACAGAGAGGTACATCATAGTCCAATTGCCTCAAACTGAGGTTAAAGATAAAATCTTTAAAATATAGAGAGAGGAAAACAAGATACACTGAAGTCAGGAAAGCAAGACCAACAGTTGATTCTCAAGAAACATAATAAAAGGCAGAGGACGATGGAATAATATCTATAGAGAACTGAAAGAGAATACCATCAACTTAGAATTCTAACTCATGAAAACATCCTTCAAAATTGAAGGCAAGATAAAGACATTTTGAGACAAAACAAAAGATAAGACAATCTGTCACCACACACTCACATTAAAAGAAATACTAAAAGCTGAAGAAAAATGATTCCAGATGGAAACATGGATCCGTAGGAAGAAATGAGGAGCACACACACACACAAAAGGGTAAATATGTGGGTAAATAAATTTTTAAAAATTAAAGGCTAATAAACATTTAAAGCAACAATAAAGTGAATGTACTAGGAAGATTATAGGCAGTTCCTGGGTTAATAAATGTGATCTGTTCCTAACTCTGTCTTTAATAATTTGTATGTCAGTCAGAACAGGTGCATATGATGCTTATTTAGTCTTACATTTGTGCAAGAAAGGTTAAAAGCAGTTTCAATGATTTAAAAGCTGCACATACAGCACATGAAGGTGATTGTGATGAAGAATTTGTTATGAGTAGGAGTTTATTCATTCGATTCATAATAACGGCAAATATACATATATATAAAATGGATTCTGAGCCTAAAGCGTATTGCCCTGCTCAAAAATGGCTGATAACCATGCTGCTTTGAATGTGTGTTGCTCTCCATGTTGTTGTTGTTATGTGCCGTTGAGTCGGCCCCGACTCATAGCGACCTCTCCTTGGGTTTCCGAGGCAGTATCACTACGGAAGTAGGACTGCCCAACCTTCCTTCCGAGGAGTGGCTGGTGGGTTTGTTACTGCCAATTAAACACTAACACAAATCATGCTTCCCTAACAGTTCACTATGCTTCTTCTGAGTCTCCTATTTCAGGGCTTCAACCAGTAATTTTATCCATTCTGTTTATTGTGACAAATCACCCAAATTATAAAAAATCAGGTCTGCTGCGGTTTCGATAATGACCATGACAGAACCAGTTCAAGTAAGTTTTAATCCCTTTTTAAAGGGCACGTAGGAGTTGTGCGTAAATTGGTTGTTCATAACTTGAAAACTGCAGGTATAGAACACAGAGGTAAAATACAAAACAATCGCACAAAGGGCTATAGAAAGGTTCTTACACTGTTCAGAGAGCAGTAAAATACAAAGTATTAAGAAAAAGATAGATTAAAATCTAATAGAAAAATGGACAACAACCTTGAACAGACCTTCATAAAACTATATATAGAAATAGATAATGAATATATGAAAAGTTACTCAACCTCATTATTAACTGTTGTTGTTGTTGTTAAGTGCCGACGAGTCGTTTCCGACTCATAGCCACCCCATGCACAGAAGAACGAAACACTGCCCGATCCCGTGCCAGCCCCACAATCCCTGCTATACTTGAGCCCATCATCGCAGCCACCGTGTCAATCCATCTCGTTGAAG